GACACATGGCTCTGCGGCGCCCGCAGCAAGAACACCATCATCTCAGCTACGTGACCAGGGTCTGCGAGCAAGCAATGCTCTGATCACCAATGAAGGCGTCCATGTGGATCACATGGGTGGAGCAACAAAGGCAGGGGCGCCACGCCCGCCCCCCCCCTAAAAAAAAGCTCTTGTCAGCCACCAGTCCAAGTAACCTGTAGGAAACGGGTGTTCCCGGTCTTCTCGATCACGTTGTAGGGCGAGTCGCAGCAGGTGCAGTTGTTGCAGCTCATCTGGCAGAAACCTGGAGGTGGCCGGTCGCATGGAGAGGGCGGTGAGGATGGGGAGGGAAGGAATCGAGCTATGGTAACATGCACAGCATAGGGCACATACACCCAGAATCCCCGTACCACCTCACCGTCACTCTCCACCAGCTCCTCCAGGGCACCCTTCATGAATTCAGCCTCGCAGTTCCCAAACAGGGCCTGATGGTAGCAGTTGTAGGTCACCGTAAGGGTGTCGTCCGAGCGAGGATCGGCATCGGAACAGATGCACTCCTCCGCCGTCTCTAGACTAGCCACGGTGGCCGTACGAGGCACGGTCTTGTGCGGATCATTGTAAAAGAACGTCATGCCATTGTGCGTGTTGACGACAACTGCGGCATGGACGCCGCACAGGCAGACCGCCCCTGTGCCAGTCGTGGGAAGTGGGGGAATGGGGATCACGGCGGATTCTGGGCAGCATGCGCACTTGGAACTCCATCACAGGACATATAATGCTTACCCAGAAGGACAGCCAGCGCTGCAGTGAAAGCCTTGCCTCCCATGGTCAGGGCCCGAGGAGCTCGCGGCGCTGTCTGCGCGTGGTACGGACGTGCCACGCAGGGAGCGGGGACCCTGAACGAGGGATTGACGCTATAGTCTGTTCAACAATACAGAGCAATATCTATCGTATTGGCGGAACAGGTAATGTCCGGCAGCTCCACATTGCATGGCATCCCGACGGACCTCGGACGAGTCGAGGAAGGTATGTGGAGAGGGTCAGACGCGCTGATCGTCGGTTCCCAGCACACCGACTGCGCTGCGCACGGGAGGTGCGCTCGACCGCTATCAAGTGGCTCTGTTGTACCGTCCTCGCTGAAAGAGTATCGTCTTCGGCATATCTGCTGCCATCATGAGGGTCGCTCTTGCTTTCGCGGCCTTCCTCGTGTTCCTGGCCAGCTCCGTCAATGCCTACACACACCCCGAAGAACGTAGGTCGCGAGGTTGGAAGGACCCTCTAATGCTACTATCTGTGCATGCAGGGCCATGCATGGCGCTGTCGAGGCTATGCCGGGGAGCACGCTCATGCCCCGCGCGCATACCCTCCTTCCCCATGCAGTCGCGAGGCTGATCGCCTTCCGCGACAAGTACAGGCCGGTGGGCTGGGGCTGGCAGTACGCCTTCCGCACCTGGAACGTGAGGTTTGAAGAGGGGAGGGGGCCCCGAGGATTCGCAAAGAGTTGTGGGGCGGCCGCGCACATGGCGGTCCGGTGTGTGATCGGCACAACCCTGTTCCCATGCCCACGCCCCCCCCACCACGCAGTGTCCCACGCGCGCAAACAACAGCGACAGCGAGTGCGATCCCTGCGGCCGCGAGTGGTGGGGGGTGAGTGGGAGGGGCTCCCTGAGAGCTGGACATTACGGTCGGAATGGTGCTGCCCTCAGGGTGAAGGTGTCCTCTCCACGCTTCAAAGAGCCTGCATATAATAATGTCTAATAGCTTGCTTTTATTGAGTTACTATTATAACTCCTCCACTCTGCAGAACTGGGATCACATTTCCTGCAGGAGCACCGACACCCTCTTCCGTGAGTTTCTGAACCATGTTGCTTCAAGGGTTTGGCCCAAAATGTGCAACTGGAATGGAGCCCAAGTTGCACTGCCACTGCCAGACCTTGCGCTTGCTCTGCCTGGGGTGGCATTGACCATTTGTTCCTTTGAGTCATCTCCTACCCACAACATCCGCAACCCACCAATATAGTAGCCTCCTGCCGACCTTCACAACCCACTCCCTCCTTTCCCCTGCAGGCAATGATCGCATCCCTGGGGAGGGCTGGGTCACTAACATCCATTTCTCCCTGACGGGGGCGGAGGGGACCCCTCCCCGGGACCTGTGTGGATTCGTGCATGCCAAGGAGTGGGACTTCAAGGTGTGCAACCTCAACGGCACCCTGCCCACCTACCTCGGAGGCGACGGCTCCTGCATGCCGCTGCTGGAGGAATGGGACTTCTCCCGCAATCACATGGAAGGTGGGTCCTTTTCTTGCTTGTTTGTGTGGTTGGTGGAGCTGACTTGGGCCTGGGTGTGGTCATGCAGGGAAGGATGCAAGTCGCTGTGAGAATATGGCATGGCGATGGAGTGACAGAGCAGTCTGGGGGAGAAGCAGGCGCCCATGCTGTCAGCCATGTCATGGTGTGAACAGTACACTGTACTGGACAGCAACGCACCAGTCGGCATCTCGCTTCTTGAATCCTGCAGGTCCCATCCCGGAGTCCGTGGGGACCATCGAGAGGCTGGTACGCTTCAAGATGCAGGGCAACAAGCTGACTGGGCCAATCCCAGCCAACTTTGGGGACCTGAAGGCACTGGAGTGGATCCGCGTCTTTGGTGAGTGGGTGGGACTGGAGAATAGGACCGTCCTCGACCATTTCATGGGCCTCCATGGTCTCAAACAGCCCATCGGCAAAGCGTCCATGGGGAGGCAGCGACAGTGCCTGGTCCCCTGAATGAGGCCGGGGCCAGCCATGCAAGGCTGACCTGCTCCTCATTGCTCCCTCACCAGACAACAAGCTGTCTGGGACCTTTGGCGAGACCTTCAAAAAGGTGAACCCGCGGATGACCCAGCTGGCCATAGGTGGCAACGACTTTGAAGGCGAGCTGGGGGGGGTTGTGAGGACGCGGGATGGGCCCCGGCAGAACTGCTTCATTTGCTGCGGGCACCTTGCCATAATTTCCTTGCCTGAATTGGACTTGTCGAGCGAATTACCCCAGCCTGACAAAGAGGTTGTGCAGGTGTGAGCTGTCCAGCGCACACGGCATGTGCCCAACCACTGCCTGCCCTTCCTGAGGGTTCCCACTTCACACACCCATACCCTTCTCTCGCTCCTCCACACAGGCGACCTGTACAACTTTGCGGAGGTCAGCCTGCAGAATGGCAACATCACCTACCTGCCCAAGATGTGCGGCATGATCCCAGTCGGCATCCAATTTGCCAATGGCTACGACATCGGCGGTTCTCCAGGCCTGGGTCTCCCCTGCCCAGATGAGGTAGCAAACGGGTGGCCCAATGCCCTTTGATCTCTTGGGTCAGGCCATGAATCGTGTGTTCTGTCAGTTCAACAAGCGCGTGTAACTATTTACATTTTGCCCAGCGGCTGTACAGTGACTCCCCGATGCGATGCTAGGGACTTCCCCCCCTAACCGGATGGGTTAATTTCCGTACCACAGAGATTACGTCAATCATCACATGCGCTCTCAAGCCGCAAAAATAAACAAGAGCACAGTCCACATCGCGAGGAGGTCGAGCTCGAAATAACTGCAAATCGTGGGTTCCGAGGTGCTGGGCAGACGGCGGTGTTGTCAGTGTCAACCTCCGTTCGACTGTCGCAGCCTAATCAGCTCGAGGCTCTCACAGCGCCTCCTGAAACGCCGTCGGTGGCCTTGCGATGGCCATTAAAACACAGTGGAAGCTGAAAGATATTCAATGGAGGGAGGTCTTCAAACGCCAGGTGCGTCGCAGTCATGCGCTGACAGCTCGGTGCATGGCCCGGGAGACGCGGTAGGGTCCCCGACCCACTCGGCTTGCCCACACCTCCTCCCACCGCATGCTCGCAGGATTATGCCACATTGCTCCTCACCGCCTGCTTCATCGTCGGCCTGGTGATCCCGTACGCCATCTCTGATCCCCGAACCAGCGCCTACATCATCTACGATGCCACGATCTCTAATGCCGGTTATGACAATTTCAAGCCGTCTGTGCCCAACTTTGTGCCTGTACTCGTGCCCCTCCTCACCTTCGCGATCACTGTGGTGGTTGGGGAGTTGATCAGCAGCAAGTCCCAGCACAACACCGTCACAGAGGCTGTGGCATCCGCACTCTTCTTCGTCCTGGATGGCATTCAGGTGGGCATGCCGGCATGGCCATGCCTTGGACGGGCAATGCTCATTGCATATCGGGCATCTTCTTGTAAATTACAAAGCTTGCTTGGCTGTCACTGGCCGGCAATGATACATGGCACCAGAGTCGTTCTGGTGTGTGCTGTTCTCCAACCTGCAGGTGTATAAACCAGCTTGTGCCGTTTCCCACCCCTTGGCATGCTGCCCACACACAACTCCAACCCCCAACAGTCCTTTGTTTGTGGGCTCCTGGTCGTCCAGATCACCAAGCTGGTGGTGGGCAGGACCCGCCCCGACTTCCTGGCTCGGTGCAATCCTATCATCCCGGGCAACATCACCATCACCATTGGGGGTGACCCAAATGCTCTCTGGCCCTGCCAACGCCCCTATGACGATGTGCTGAAGGATGGCTTTCAGTCCTTTCCATCAGGCACGGCTGGGGTGGGGTTCGCTGCGCTGCAGTCTGCCTGGTGTGCGTCTGGGAAGCCTCCAGCTTAGCCTGGCACATTGTCGCGGGAGATTGCACTTAGTCACCGCAGGGCAGCCACTCAATGGACCTACTGCCCCTGGCAGTGACGCGGCTGCAGTCAATTGCGCACTACTGTGCAGTCTCCATGACACTCCTCGCCCGTTGCCCATTCCAAAGTGTAGAAGGAATCCCTTCTCCTCGCCGCCCACCCACTCAATTCCTCCACCCCCTGCAGGCCACACCTCAACCGCTTTTAACCTCACCGTCTACACCTCTGCATACCTTATCTGGTGCTGGCACATGCGCCTTTCCTGGACACCAGTCCATCTTAGCATGAAGCAGCAGTTCCTGCTGGACCTGCGCAACGTGGCGGCCAAGCTCTGGATGCTGGTGCTGCTCGGCGTGGCATGGGGCATCGCCATCTCCCGCATCATCGACAACCAGCACCACCCCTCCGACGTCATCGGGGGAGCGCTCATCGGTGGGTGCACGACAAGTGGGTGGGCTCCATTGCTGGCGCAAATCGAGTGCTTTCAACCGTAGAGTGACTGGGGCTCATTGGCGAGGGCCTAGGAATTTTGAAACTGATTGTGTCCCGAACCTGATGTCGCACATTCACTTGGGCTTGCCGGGCCGTGATTGCTCCTCAGCCCACTCATAACCACCCCCATTTGGGCAGGCATCTGCATCGCACTCATCTATGTCCTGCGTGCCATTCCCCGCTACAAGCGCGTACTGTCGCCAGAAGTCAAGTCTGCACAGGGCGACCTCGATGAAATGTCGGTGTAGAGTCCGCCTGGCAAGAACCCTAGCCCAGTACTCCTTCTTTGTGTCAAGTATGCGCTGAGGATGTGTGTTACAGATTGCTATCACGTCCGTAGAGAGATACACTCCTGTGCGGAGGCGTAGACCTCCCCAATGCATACCCAAGCGACACCCCAGCTTGACCCTTGCTCCCAGCTGTCCTGCAGTAATACTCAATCACACGAACACAGGAAGCCCTCGTCAGGGCGGGGCCCCCTCAAGGTAGCTCTCCATGCCAGGAAGGACGGCAGAATCTGCACTAAGAACTGGGGTTGTGAGACGGCAGGGGGAGGCAGGGATGGGTTAGTGGGGACACAAGGGTGCAGACTGCACTTTTAGGTTCTGCAACGCAGAGAATGCCATGTTCAGGGCAAGGAAAGCGCTCAAGGGCTGGTTCCAGATACGGCATTCCGCGGAGTTGAATCGGTATTCAGCACTGGATTGCTCTGGCAAGCTCCCGCGTCCCCCAACCACTCCCTGCCCTCACAGTAACACGCAATTCCCACGGCGCACCACCATGCCTGCCATACCTGTTGCAGTGCCCTCATTCGCGGCCTTCTCCGGCAAAGCGGCTGGATGGCTGGCACTGGCAGTCGCATAATATGTGGGCGCGGAGGGCACCTGCGAATTCGCAAACCCCATGGTCTCTCTTCCTATGTGACAAGCAATGGTGTAGCATGCCAGACTTGTGGAGCCTCGTAGTCCTGCACGCGGTGCCCTACTCCACCGGCCACTCTCACCTGAGGCGCTCTCGAGTCTGGCGCGGGTGCCTCGCTGAACCTCCGCTTCCGGGCGGCGGGCGCAGCCATGTGGCCCGTGTCTAGGTGTGTATCCCGGACAGCTGGGGGGGCCGTGCAAGCGACAGGCGGGTGCGCAGATGCACACTGGGATGTCTGTTGGTGTGAGCGTGGCAGGTTGGCACCTGCAGGCGGCCCAGCAGCAGGGTGTAGAGGCGGCCCTACGGCGTACTGCGGCGGCGGCACCGCTGCGTACTGCGGCGGTGGCACCGCGGCGTATTGCGGGGGCGGCACAGCGGCATACTGCGGAGGCAGCACAGTCCCATACGGCGGGGGCGGCACAGCTCTGTGGTGGCCTTGCTGGGGCCGAGGAGGCTCACCCACCACCCCGGTCGGCACAGACACCGGCATCGGCACTGGCGGCGGGGGCAGGGGCGGCAGGTAACTCCCCGAGCCCGGCGGCCGCGGCAGGCCCGGGAAGGCCGTGACGAAGTCGGCGCGCACGGTGTCGATCAGGCTGGTAGTCAGCCCACGCGCCTTCTCCAGCGCCGCCCCGTCCCCCGCCGCCAGGAAGACATGCAGTGGCTCGCGCGTCTCCGGCACAGTGGCGGAGCCGGCGCCGCGCAGCGCCGCGACGCAGGCGCAGGCGCTGGCGATGTGACCCAGGTAGGCGTTGTTGGGGCCTCGCACGCGGCCCGCCAGGTCCCAGGAGGCGGGGCAGGAGGCGGGGATGCCCAGGTACCTGCGGGGAGCAGGGATGGGTCGAGCAGAGTTTGTGGTGCACAGTGAGGGAAGGGCAGAATAAGACGGGAAGGATGAGCGAAGAGAGGGCGGGGGTGTTTAGAGAGTGCGCCCAACACCTAAATTACCCTCCGAGACTGCCACTCAGCGATGGCATCTCGACAGACCACTCTACGGCATCCCACACGCCACGGACTCAACCCCCAAAACTCACAAGCAGTGGAAGCCGGGGCCAGATATCGGATAGGGCGAGGCGTCTTGGGCTGGCAAGGGAGCCGTTGACACATGGGGCTGGGAGGAGTGTGGCAGCGTGGGAGGGGCGCCGGGGAGAGGCTTTCCGCGCAGCAGGGCCTCGAGGTCTGCCGCGGCAGCGGCGCAGGCAGACAGGCGGGATGCGACGTCCTGCAGGGGGAAGGGTGTAATGCAAGTCATGCTGGGGGGGAGTGCCAGAGCAGAGCCTCCTGGCGGGATGCTGAGGAGTAAGCACTCCTGTACTGTCCTGCGGCACGGACTCTGGGATGGAACACATTCGCCATCCCCCTGTGCATGGATCACGCACCTTCTTGACAAGTTCTGTGCCAGGGGCGATTCGAAGAAAGATGGGGGGATCGCTGCCTGTGGGCGGCACCACACCCGGCGGGTAGTACCGCCCCTTGGCTACCACGCTCACGCCCCACCGCTGCTCTATCGAGTCGAGGGTGCTACGCTTGGAGAGGTGAGCCCGATGGTGGGGCTCACTTGCATTGATGCTGATGTCGGTGAAGCTGGCCGATGGGTGAGCGGCAGAGGCCTCAGGCTTAGGTGCAGGGGTCCCTGCTCTCGGCGCTGGATTGGAGGGCCCCAGGCGGTTCAAGGCCTGGCAGGAAGAAGCGTATGGGCTACGACTGAGTTATTTTTAGTTGATTAATAGTGATTACACCGCCAAGTGCACGACAATGACGGTGGGTCACGAATATAACAGACCAGTCTCGACCTGCTGAGCGATGATGCGAGCGGCAGCCGCTGCGCTCTCCTGAATGGAGCGCGCAACGTCGACCGGTTGTGAGGCTTGAGGTTCCTCAACGTCCCATTTTCGTCGCTTCTGTCGGGGCGCTGCACCGTTTGCAGCCATAACTGGGCGGCCCAGCTATCATGCAACTCGCACCCTGGCGCTTGTGACACGATGCATCGCATGCAGCCTCAAGTCGTTGAAGCAAACATGTCAGAGCGATGCTCGATTATTGCCATGATGTCCCCCCGAGGCCGCATGGCGAGCTGCTCCTTCACGACCACAATCCACCCTAGGGCGCGAGATCCGCGGTGCAACTTCTCGAATGCAGAGGACAGGAGGCAGCATAAATGCATGTTTAAACTTTTCATGGTCGTCATTCGCAACTATAATACAAACTTGATGATGAGACACCGTGGCGAGAGCTTGAACCGAGTGTAGGGGCCTTCTAAACATGGACGACATCGAGTTCGACTTCGAGAGGTCGCTGGCCTCTCAACGGCAACAGCAGCAGCAGCCACCTTCTACCAGCAGACTCTATGAGAATGCTTCGGGAGGGAAGGGAACGGAACGCCCGCGTAATTACAGACAGGTGAGAAAGGGGAAGTGGCCTGCTTGGCTGTCAACTGTGAGGGGGTCCCCTTCCCAATGGGCTGGTTTCCAATCCTGACTCACCATCCCTGTCCGTCCATGCAGACCGTGTGCACATACTGGCTGCGAGGACTCTGCATGAAAGGCGATGCCTGTGGTTTCCTGCACCAGTTTGACCCAGCCCGCATGCCGGTGTGCCGGAACCTGCTGAAGAATGGGGTGTGCAAGGATGTGGACTGCCCCTACAAGCACAGCATGGAGGAGATCAAGGAGTGCAACATGTACAAGCTCGGATTCTGTATCTACGGCCCAGCGGTATGTTGGTCTTGAGGGGGCAGGAGCATTCAAGTTTTTGAAGAGATTTGACAGTCGAGTGGCACCATAGTGGTGGTTTGCCTCTTGAGCTGCCTTGCCCGTATGTGAATTTTCCTGTGAACGTCGACAGCTCAAGACTCACTCGCGCCCATCCTCCTTCCCCCCCAGTGCCGGTTCAAGCACACCCGGCTCGCAGGCCCCCCCGCGGAGCCCAACCAGCTGGAGGCCGCCAAGCCCAAGGAGTTTAGGAACGTGAGCATCGTGGCGGATCAGGCCAACCGCGGCATCCACTTGCTGGGACCCCACGGTCGGCCGCGGGACCTCAACCTGCCGGCGCTCACGGCCGGCCCAGGCACGGCGCCGAGGTCCAGGGCCATGGTGCCTTCGGGTGCCGTTCGATGATGCCTGGTGCTCTCTGGTGTTTCTTGCACCTGCTTCACTCCTCCCATGGTTATTTAAATGTGCATGCACCACCGTGCACAGATTTTGAGTCTGCCCCCCTTCCTCCCTTGCTCCTGCGCTATATTTGTGAGCATGTTCCAGCAGTACAGAGGGACACTATGTGCCAGAGTCCAGCAGTGGAAAGTCCTCGAAGGAGAAAGATAGAGCAAACATCTCCAGACAAGGTCGAGTCCCTCAGGCCCCCCTCTTCTTTGCTGCACTCTCCTTGAGCTTGAGGGTGGGTGTGGCGGCCAGCAGCGCTGGCCAGTCGGGAAGCCCCGGCCCAGACCCCGAGATGCAGCCGTCCAGGTCCAGCACGATGTACCCGGTCTCGGGGGCGGTGGATGGGGCCGAAGGGGACCCCAGCAGCCCACTCTCCGTGGCCCACGCCTTCCACTGGTGGGGGTCTGCGGGCTCCAGCTGCCAGCGTGGAGCGCTCTGCGTGTGTGGCGTGGTGAGGAGGGAGGCTCTGGTGATCCAAAGGTGCATCTCAGAGGGGCAGGGAAATGACCACATCAGGTGCCTCTATTGTTTCACCACCCACTTCCCTCTTCACAGACCTGCGCCGGCGCCCTGGGCGAGGGCCCCGCGGCAAACCCCTCCCCGCCTGCGGCCCCCTTCCCGGCCGCAAACTCCCGCCTCAGCCCCTCCAGCCGCTCCGCCGTCTCGCTGTCCTCCTGCAGCACCACCGGCAGGACGCAGATGCCACGCTGCGCCAGCGCGGCGGCGTGCGGCCGCGCCGAGGCGAGGGCGGCCGCCGTGAAGCTGCGGCGCCCGGCGAGGACCAGGGGCCGGCGGCTGCCGCGCAGCGTGCGCAGCGCACGTGGCACGCCCGCCTCGCCCCGCGCCGGGGGAAGGAAGCGCAGCTCGCCCAGCGCCTCCTCCCGCGCCGCCTGTGCCACGCCACGTCGCCCCGCCGCCCAGTCCCGGGCCAGCAGGAAGCCGGCCACCCCTGTCACCGCCAGGTTGATGGCCAGATTCTGGAGCGCATCGGGGAGGGAGGCCTCCTCGCCACGCCCCAGGAACCCCGCCAGGCGTGCCGCCAGCACCGCGGCGCCCAGCCCGGCGCCCAGCGTCACGCCGCCCAGGCCCAGCAGGCGCAGCGTACGGAAGGGGCTGCGCGCCTCGGCCCGCAGCGCGGTGCTGGACTGGGCGCCGCGCGCGGCCTCCAGGCGGGAGCGCAGCGCGGGCCAGCCGGGGGCGAGGCGCAGGGCCGCCAGGTCGGGGTCGCGCTCCACCACCCGCAGGGCCAGGTCATGCACTGTCACCGCGCTCTCCAGCTGCGCCAGAGCCTCCTGGTACCGGCCGAGCGCCGTCAGCGCGCAGGCGCTGTTGTAGGTGGCCGCCCTCGCCTCGTCGGGGGAGGGGCGCATGGAGAGGCCGGCGCGGAAGAGCTGGAGCGCAGTCGCTGGGTCGCCATTAGAGAAGCGCTGCAGGCCGGCCTCCACTGCATCCTTGGCACTGGTCACGGAGAGGGCGGCGGGGGATGGACCGCTGCGGACCATAGTGGTGGATCGGGCGGGTTTCCTACGGGGGTGGCCGGGCGGGGACCGCCGGGCGGGTGCCGGCACAGCAGGCAGCGATGCATGGAGCGTTCCATGCCTCTCATGGCATGTCCCCCATGCCGTCCGATTCGCCAGGCAGGAAGGCAGGCCGAGCAGCCGCATAAAGCCTAATGCCACAATGACAGTGTTTGGGGGGGTGCACGAGACCGCAGCACAGATACCGAGCGCTGTAATGAAGGCGACATGTGCCCTGCCCGGCGGACATCTCCCAGGTGGAAAGAGACCCTGGATACCTCCCACAGGACCTTACGCCCTCCTCCCACACTCCATCTGCAAGTCGCAGCGCCGGCCTAGCACAGCACATTTGTATCGATCGACTGATTGAATGCATCTGTCGTTCCCCTGGAGGCGATAGCGCTGGTCGGCCTACCTCGACATGTCTGGGGCTCCGTGACATGTCGAGCACCTGACAATAGACCCCCGACTGTTAGGAAGCCCTTCTACTGTTAGATACCGAGCATATAGGATACGTCAGCATGTTTTTTGATGATGGGGACGAAGACGAACGTGAGGGGGCTGGAGGTAGCGGGGTAGCCTGGGCCTGCAGGAATGTGCCGCCTGCCAAATCTTGTCGGATGTGCTCATGAAATACCCCCTTCCCATCCCTCTGACTGCAGCCTTGGTGCCCGCACGGCACACCCTGTTTCGGGGCCAGAAGCCGGTTCAGGAGTGGCTCAAGGAGCTGGAGCGCGTCAAGGTGCACCTGACTGGTTTTGGCGACCTGGCGGAACAATGCCACCTTCGCCCTGGATGCTGGGTGCTGTGCCCACCTCCACACTGCGGCCACAGGTCAAGCATCCACCACGACGCATTATCACCTCTCGAAGTCTTGGTCTCCACCTCCCACCGACAGGAGGACGCGCTGGCGCACCCCAGCAAACCGAGGCTCACGCTTCAGGATGTCGCCGACCGCGCCATGGACTCTTCGTTCCGCGGCCGGCTGGTGCCCACCAGTCCCCGCTCCATCGACGCCTGCCTGCGGCTGGGCATAGACCCTGCCAGCCTGAGGCACATCCCTCTGGAGGCCTATGCCAAATGGGAGAGGGACCCGGAGCTGGCGCGGCTGGCGTATGATTCGGAGGAGTCGCTGCGCCAGGCAAGAATGACAGTGTATGGCAGCGAGGCCGAGGGGAGGGACCCTGTTGTGTGTGGTGTGATAACCAATGCGTGGCACGCAGGGCCCTGGGAAGAGACACCCACATCGAGATCAGCTTCAAGCAATGTGTTGCCCCTGCCCACCGAGCAGACTCGGGTGAAGAACCTGTTGGAAGAAAGGGCGCGGCTGGAGGAACAGGGCCTGAGCGGCCAGCGTCGCGCCAAGGGCCCCTCCCAGCCCGGGAGCCCAGGTCCCGGAGGCGGGGCGCTTGGACAAGGTGGGGCGTGGGGGGTGTGCAGGGCGCATGACAAGTTGTGCACCCCACCCACTCGGAGCGACAAAGTGTGGTATCTCACAGCCACCCTTGGGAGCGCATGCGGTGCTGCTGCGTGGGACAGCTTTCTTCCCCTAGCGGCAAGGAGAAGCCTTGCCAGTATGGCTTTGCCACCCTCCTGTTGTCTAGGTGTTGGGCAGGATGCCACGATGGACATGGTGGAGAGGGAGGCCAAGCGCCTGGAGGTCCTGCGCCGGCGGCAGGAGCGGGAGCTGCAGCAGATGGTGGCGCACGAGGTGGCTCGCCGGGAGCAGGAGCAAAAGGCCAAGGCCAAGGTGAGGCAGCAGGGAGTAAGATGCCATGCTGCTGGAACTCAGCGGGGCTGCTGTATCCCAGAGCCATGTTCTACTGATTCTAGTATTGGGCCAAGGCAGGGAAGCCACAGCACCATCCCCCGTAATCGTCCCCCCTTGCATCAGATCGAGGCGCTGGAGCGGAGGACGGAGGAGCAGAGGAAGGCTCGGGAAGCGGCTGCGGAGGAGTGGAGTCGGCAGCAGAGGGACCGTGCCCTTGCCAAGAAGCAGGTGTGGTTTCGTGGCTCTCTTTGACACTATCGTGAGTTTGTGCCAAACAAGAACTGCCCATGTGGATCCAACACTTCACAAGGCATCCGAAGAATGTATGGGTCATTCCCAGAACCGCCCATGCACATGCACCACAAGGACACAGATTCCATTTCCAGCATCTCCCTTGCCCCCTCCTTCAGGAAGAAGCTGAGAAGGAACGGCAGGACCGGGAACAGGAGGCTGCACGCCACGCACGTGAGGCGGCCGCTGCTGCAGCCGAGGAGGAGGAAGCTTTCAAGCGGCGCCAGATGGGCTACCAGAAGTGAGTGAGGATGCACACAGCCATGTCCAGTCGACATGTAGCGGCATACGTCAAACACAGGAGCAACCCCTGAGATCAAGTCGTGCACCTGACCACCCTTTCTGGGAGGCACTCCTCATGTTAGGGACAAATTTCCAACGCATCAACCCCCTCTGCGCCTGCAGAGAACTTGAGCGGCTCGCAAAGGCCAATGCTGCCCGAGCCGAGACCGATCGCATCCTCGCCGAGCAGGAGGCTGCGATTGCGGCGCGGCGCGAGGCAATCCAGCAGCGAGAGGCCCACAGGGAGGCGGCCAAGGTGACCCATAGGGAGCTGGGGTCAGGGGGTGGGCGCGTAGGGTTGCTCCGCTGTAGCTTCAGGGTTCCTGGCGGGCCTGGAAAGGTGCATCTGACATGGGCCGGGGCCTAAAGCCTTGATTGGTCCACGTGTCGCAGCGACCATCCTGTTCCCCTGAACTTCCCTCCCCAGGCGGCGCTGATCGAGGAGAGGGCAGCAGCAAACGCACTGCAGCAGCGACTGGCGGAGGCTCGCATCGCCACCACCCTGGAGAGCAATCGCCAGAAGATGGAGGAGAAGATCAAGGCGGCCCAGGATCGCTGGGAGGCGGCAGAGGCTCGTTCCAGGTCGGCGTGATGTGGCTATTATTATCTGTGGGAGGGAGGTGTGTTGCTCAGCGGATGGAAGTGGTGGAATACAGCTTCCATCCTGATGGCAGGATACCTCCCTGCACTCTGCGAGGATGACCAGGCTGTCTTGCCATGTCCTGCTGCATGTAAGGCTCCCAAGACTCTCTCCACCTTGAATCTACCGCCTGGTCCCTCCTCAAGCAGGGCCTTGGAGGCTGCACGTCAGGCGGAGGACGAGGAGAAGCGCCGACGTGACCGGGAGAAGGAGGAGCAGCGCAGGGCCACATACGAGGACGCGCGGCGGCAGGAGGCGGAGCGCGTGGCGGAGGTGCTGCGCCGCGCCGCCGACAAGGACGCCGACCTGGCGGCGCTGGCGAGGGAGAGGGAGGCCGAGGCGGCGCGCAAGGCCCTGGAGCGGCGCCTGCAGCTCAAGCACAAGGCCGAGGCGGTAGAGCAGATGAAGCGCCGCGACGCCTTCGAACGTGCCGAGGCGCTGAAGCGCATCGAGGAGGAAACCTCGCACGCACAGGCCCTGCTGGCGCAGAGGAGCGCGCTCCAGGTGTGTGATGGTGCAACGATGAGGGGCCGGATTGTGTCACGGTGGGCCGCTGATGGGTGTTACGGCGCACACCTAGGTGCTTCATCCAGGGTTTGGCAGGCTTGCAAACTGCCAGTGACGCTGGCAAGTGCTCCCAATGGCTTTTTTGGTGCGGACGTCGTGAGATGACCCAAAACATTCCCTCTTTTTGTCCACCACCCCTTCCCCCTTCCCTTGCAGCAACAACGCCGTCAGGCCAACCTGGATCTGTCGGTCCAGAGGCAGCGTGTGGCGGAGAGCATGTCCAAGCTGCTGAGCAGCGGCGGCTGGGAAAGGGCCCTGGCCCAGGGGCTGGATGTCTCGTCCCTGCTGCGCAAGTAGTCGCAGCCGCCAGCGTGCAATTTCGCAGTTGATAGCAGAGCGGAAACTGTATGACATGGGGACCTGGCAATGGCTGGCCAGGTGGTCAGACCTCAGTCGACACTTTCTGCTCATCCTGCACCATGCATAGTCTCCATCACACATTGACCTGGCCCCCGACATTTGAGGGCTCAAACACCTGACCCTCACGCGACAAAAAGCCTCACCCTTAGCGCAATCCCTGCCATCACTGTGTGGACCTCCTCTGACCTCATGCCCTTGACACGTCCCCGTGAATGCTGTACACAACACGGTCAGGGTGGGGGAGCGCCTGGCCGAGACACCCTGCATCCAAGCACCCTCCTGCCTAGGCTATGTAGCGGTACAGCGTCCTGTCTGTCGCGTCCCGCTCCATGAAGTCTCTCTCGATGAGGCTCTCGATCCGCTTCTTGATCACCTGTGAAGGAGGGGGCAGGGGGCTCGGCGTTGCATGTTTTTAGCTGGTGCTGCACTCGCCAGTACAAGAGCTGGGGGGGAGACGCGAGGTGTGCAAGGAAACCACTTCCTCTGTCACGATGCAGTGTCCCTTCCATGCCCGACTCCCGCCTCGCTACCTGCTGGTTGGGGATGAAGCGCACAGCCAGCTGTCGCGTCACTTCGCTCACAATGCTGTTGTGCGACAACTGCTTGCGAGCCTGAGGAAGTGTGGGACGATGGGGGTGGTCAGATGCGGGCGACACAGCCTGCCACGCGTGCGACAACGGAAGCAACAGTCGCCTACAAGCCATGAGACGAGCCTGTTCTCAAACCTCAAGCTCGAGCACACCCGCTCCAAACACCCGGCCAGCAGCACAGCACCTTCATGATGCGGACAATGGCGGCCTCGATCTGCGGTTTGCGGTCCTCCTCCACGCGCTCCCGTGTCTCCTCCTTCCCCTCGTCGCTCTCACGCTGCATTGCGATGGGTTGGAAGGGCTGGTCAGGTGGGGCACAGGGCCAGTGGGCGGTAGGGCGGGGGCTCCTCGCCCCAGAGAGCTCACAGAGATCTGGGTGCCATGCTTGATCTGCAATGCCCGACCGCCAGCCCGTCACATGATCCCCTCCTCCTGTCCCTCTCTGTACATGGGACCCCCCTTCGCCCCATACCTGGGCCACCACCATGCCGATCTTGACCTTGTACAGGCGCGATTGGAAGGAGTCGTTGACGGAGAACACGTCCGCGTCCCCAATCTCCTTGCTCATTGGCTCCTTGCGAAGGACGTTTTTCCCCTGGAGAGGGGTGCCACGTGCGACAGTCGGGCAAGCGCCAGTTGGAAGGAGGGGCAAAGCGGTGTGCGCTTGATTGGCGGGCTGGGTGTGCAGCCCAGGCAAGAGGTCTCCTCCAGTCTGGGGCGTCCATGCTGCATCCGAACTCCAGTCCGTCCGCAAAAACACAACTCGCACATGGACACCCGTGCCACCCTACCCCCTGCCTCGCACCTTGACACAGGCCAGGCTCTGCAGCACTCGCCGGAGCTCGGCGTCCGGCACCTGGGTGGCGGCCAGGATCTCCCGGGTGGTGAGCCGGTCACTGTCGTTGAAGAGCATGAGCACCACCATCTGGTGCGTGTTGCAGCTGAGCTCGTGCCGCTTCCCTCCGAAGTTGGCCTTGATCTCTGCTGTGCCCATGCCCGGCTGCCACGTCAGCTTGCGGCCTGGTGGGAAAGGGGGACCGGAGGGGGGTTGGCTGGGATGCTGTGGATGGCCGACACGCAGTCAGCAGAGCAGGGGCGGTGAGATCACGCCATGGAGTGGGTTGGCGCACGCCAGACGCACACGCGGCTGGCCCTTGGGAGGCTGCGCCCTGCCTGCCACCACCCACACTGCCAGCAGTCCCCTTCTCCGTGAGTGCAGGGCAGCATGCCCTTGCCCATTGGGAAGGACGACGCTCTCGTCACTCCCCCCCCCCCCCTCCTCCGTC